GAAGCCACACTGTGAGCCTTGCTGCAGATGTTTCAGCTGACTCACCATGGAGCCGAGCAGAGGTCGGGCAGGGCAGCCCTCTCTCTGCCTGCCGGTTATAGTCAGGGTTACTTACATCAATGGGAGACTTGGAGTACTTCAGGATACCGTTGTCCAGAACAAAAAAACGCTGCAGAGGAAAACAAGCACCAAACTAGTGTTGATTAAATAAAAACAAAGATGGGATTACAGTGGACTCGTTAAAACTGGATCTTTTATTTAACTTGTTTTATTAAAAAACATTTGGGTAATGTCTGAGTTTGTCCTGTGGATCTCACCTTATGCCAGCCTTTCAGAGGCCATTTCCGCTTCTTCAGCATGAAACCCTCATGCTTGTCAGGCCTCTGGACATTGCTTTGACCAATTTTCAGTCCCTCAATTATTTCCCAGCTGTCTGCCTCCTAGAGAGAAAGAAAAATACATATAAGGACTCTTATACTCTGTAGGACACACACTTCTGTGACGGGGAAAAAAAGAACACATGGTGCATTTCTTTTAATTCTTTTTTTACATGTTCAAAATAAAGAAAGAAAGAAAGAAAGAAATCTGCCCCGCTAAAGGTCCTCCTGCTCTCTCAGCATTTCGACATCATTAACGTTTTCCTGACTGTGCTCGGTTTGTAAATCAAACTTTCAACACGGTCACGAAGGTGAGTCGCCCCTCTGGACGAGACATGAGGGTCACAGCTTTGATAGCAGAAATATGTCTGACAACTGAGAACCTGACATGACCCTTTGACAGCTTCCAAGAGGCAAAATCCACTTTGTTTGTGGTGGACTTGAGAAGAGAAACCACAATATTATGAATATATTCTGGCAACAAAGGTTACAGGAATATGAAACGCAAAAGAATCACATGAAAATAATAAAAAACTAATAATTTGAAACTCTTTTAAAAAACAGATTTATTGTTACATTTTTAGAAGTTTTAAACCAATTCTTTTAAACGCCAGCAGTTGTACGTTAAAGTTAAGTGTCAAGAGAGATGCAAAGTCTAAACAATGTAAAAATGGTAAAATTACTTCATATTTTTAAAGCAGTTATTCACCCAAGCATGGAAAATATAATTTAAATCAAGTGTGTTGGATGTGTATCACCCAAGTAGGTCAGATTTTTAATTCAGGGCTTGAATTGATGGCAGCGAAGCCTCTAAAACAAAATTAACATTCCGCAGCTTCTCTGGCAAAGAAAATAATAGCCTGTGGCTCTTCACTGCCCGATGAGATGCTACAACCTTCAGGAGAGCTCCGTGAGCAAACGTGATGACACCTCCCCTTGGTGTGTTTTAACAAAAAATAAAAAAATRCACGACAGCTTGCTTAATCTAACATGCAGCCGAACAGATCTGGGTGGTAATGAGGTCATGTTACTCCACCGGGTGGCCCCCTCCTCTGAGAGGAAGGAACTCGACTTCATGAGCGAAATGTAACTCAGACATCAAGAGCTACTTAATGATAAATGCTTTAATTGTTTTGCTGCCCTGTTCCCCAACAGACAACTGCAGCCAAAGAGCAAAGCCTTGGACCAACTTTCTGTCTGTTATCTGCAGGATTACAGACATTCAATGGAGTCCAAACTGATGTATCAATTGCTCACTGAATAAACTGCTTGCCTCTGTGTTAATCCAGTATTATTTACTTTTAAGACTCAAACTTTTAAAATAATTCACAGCCATCGACTCAAACTAAACATAAAAAATCTGCTTGATTACTGACTAATATGGAAATAACTCTGGCATTAAGAGAATCTGCTTTTGTAAGTTCAACCGGAGAGCCGAACTGAACTAAGCCAAAATGATTTCCTGCACTCTGCTCACATTCATTGATCTCACTGCAGAATAATTTACAGCTGAATGAGCTGGTCCCTCTTGGCGAGTTTAGTCTTTTAATGAAGGATCTTGAGGTGGATGAGAGGCTTTTTGCTTTTTTACATCAAGATTTTAAATGGTTCGCTCTAAAAATAGTCAATACATTTGCATGTCCTCTCAAAGCAGGTATTCAAATTAGTTGAACAACTTCATTGGATCCTAAAATTCCTCTAAATAAATGATAGCAGATGTGATTGTAGTCTGTCAATTGAATTGTCTGCCTGCTTTCATAGATCAGGTCTTCAGGGACCCTCCACCTGCAGGCAGCCTCTATAGTGGCACAGCACACCTTTGATGCAATGAATCAAACTCTTACAGTTAAGGTCTCCCTGCGCTGAGAAAAGGACAAACACTCTTCAGGGACGCCTTAGGCTAAATCAGCACTATAAATAGTGAAATAGCCCACTTCTGATGACCGTTTTGTCATATCTGCCTCTGGCAGAGACACTGATGCACAAGTGGAGTCGATCATTCATGTTCTTTTCCACTCACACACACCCACCACATCCAGCATATGCCCTTTGAAATACCATCAATTGGGCTAATGTCCATCCATCCATTTTCTTCTGCTTATCTGGGGTCGGCTCGCTGGGGCAGCAGTCTAAGCAGAGAGACCCAGACTTCCTTCTCCCAAGCCACTTGGGCCAGCTCATCCAGGGGAATCCCAAAGCGTTCCCAGGCCAGCTGAGAAACATAGTCCCTCCAGCGTGTCCTGGGTCTTCCTCTGGGCCTCCTCTCAGTGGGACATGCATGGAACACCTCATCAGGGAGGCATCCAGGAGGCATCCTAACCAGATGCCCGAGCCACCTCAACTGGCTCTCTGGCACTCTGCGGTCCCCCTTTTTAAATAGGGGGACAACCACCCCAGTCTGCCAATCCAGGGGAACTGCTACCGATGTCCACGCAATATTGTAGAGTCGTGTCAACCAATGCAACCCCACAACATCCAAAGCCTTAAGGAACTCCGGGCGAATTTCATCCACCTTCTGCGCCTTGCCAATGAGGAGCTTTTTAACCACCTCAATGACCTCGGCATCAGAGATTGGAGAGTCCGACCCAGGGTCCTCAGGCTTTGCT